TCATCCATCACAAGGACGACTTGGAAATCATAATTTTTTTTTAGTTCAGCAGTCATTTTTTTTAATTTTTCAAACGAATTGTTTGTTAAACCAGGTTGTAGTAATTTCATAGGAGCCCATCAGTAAAGAGTTTTTACGTGGAGCATGTTCAAATTTAAATTGTCCCTTAGAAAAGAATATGCTGAATACGACATATAGAAAATGTTTTGGGCCAACCATTGTACATTGGGCGATTTTCCCAAAAAAGTGGCATAAAGTCAAAAATGTATGATAGAATATTAAAAAAACCTTATTTATTAATAGTAAACACTTCAGGAAGCTTAAAAAATGTTTTGTTTTTTGCTGGGTGGCAACTCTCTTTATGTGGCAGCCTCTTAAAGTCAGCTGAAGGCAAGCAGCTTTCGATTGTAAAAGTTACCGCGAAAATTTTACTTTTGCAATTGATCAGTGTGCGTATGTTTTTATGCAGTTTAATATATATATTTAGTATGGAAAACAAAGATCAAGGTATATATAATCTGTATGTTGTAGCAAAAGTACATAAATATTTGTGTTGTTGTTTTTGTCCAGTGTTGTTGTTGGTTGTATTTGAACTAAAATTTTAACAATTGTAATCGTGTTCCGTGAAGTATTTCTATATCAAGAGCAAGCCAGAGCAGGCAACTAATAATGGCAAGTTACTAACTTAAATGTCTATTTTCATTTGGTAAAAATCTCATTTCCTCGTTTTCCACCGTTTATATAAAAAATGCACTTGTAGTTGTTGTTGCGATTACCAACAGCGAGCTTGCCGATATTTGGAACGGCAACAATCGTTACGCAAGCGCTGTAACGTCGTTTATTTTAACAAAAATAAAAAAAGATGATTTGAGCATATCGCACATGAATGCAATAGAATCCAAAGTATCAATTTTTGTAAAACATATTAAACGGTATTTACGCAAACATCACGCAGATCTGGATAAAATTAAGTCGATTTACTCAGAATGGTTTTCAAAAAGTTTTGAAATACGAATCGATATGGAGGATACCAAAAATTCATCACCTTCCAAAACAGGACGCCCAAAATTAGGGTATACAGAGGCCGGGTCAAGGTTTAGAAGGAAAATGGCTCTAGAAGTTGCCATAGAAAATGACTTGTCAACTCCTTTACTTCTGCATGCAGCCTCAACATCTGTGCGAAAAGGAAAAATAATGAAGCAGTCGGCGTGCAGCAGGAAGTCAATATTGAAAAAAAAAAATTAAGAATGTGTCAAACAAAAAGCCTTTAAAAATGTCTATAAAATAATGTATCCTTAGCCTACATATTGGAAAATGGGCTAACAAAACAACAATATATTAATACTAAGAAACTAAATAAGGCGTACGGGAACGACATATATCCTGGTTATGATGCAATAAAACAAACGAAGATGCAGTGCAGACCGGGAGTACATAGGAGTACAAATTACAGAATCTGTTGCAAAGGTTTCTTTGCAGGATTTGCTGAGCCATACGGCTGAACGAATTTTAATTTTACAAAAGGAAGTTTTGGAACAAATGGAAAATGTTACAGAGTGCACACTTATTGCATGTTATAGATTTGATGGGTCAAAGTTCCTATAAACAGAAATTCGATTTTGATGAACCCGATTCTTCCGACAGTTTTCTATTCGTGGCAACTATGATTCCAATAAGATTAGTGGATTATTTAAATCGTTTAATTTGGGTAAACAAAAGCCCCCACTCTGTACGCTTCTGCAGGCCGATTAAAATTGAATACGCCAAAGAAAGCATTGCAAAAATTCAAGAAGAAAAGCATAATTTAGATATGCAAGTAGCAAACTTGCCAAATTGTAAATCACATAGCGCAAACATTTCGGTTAATTTTTAAACATATATGACATTGATTGACGGCAAGGTACTTAATACTTTAACAAATACGAAATAAAATGGACGAAATAACTCAAATACCAAATACGAAATAACTCTATAAAATGGACCGACGTTCCCATGCTAGAAAAAATTAACAGACGTTTTTATACCCTTGCAGAGGGTATTATAATTTTGGTCAAAAGTGTGCAACGCAGTGAAGGAGACATCTCCGACCCTATAAAGTATATATATTCTTGATCAGGATCACCTCTTGAGTTGATATGAGCATGTCCGTCTGTCCGTCTGTCTGTCTGTTTCTACGCGAACTAGTCTCTCAGTTTTAAAGCTATCGACTTGAAACTTTGCACACACCCTTCTTTCCTTTGCACGCAGTATATAAGTCGGAACGGCCCGGATCGGCCGACTATATCCTATAGCTGCCATATAACTGATTGATCGGAAATAGTATAACTTTGACATTTTTAAAGTTAGAGAGTTCAAATTTGACATGAGAGCATTTTTTGGGAAAACATTACGACATGCCAAATTTCATAAGGATCGGCCGACTATATCCTATAGCTGCCATATAACTGAACGATCGGAAATGACCCAACTTTCTTGTTTTTGAAGATAGAAAGGTGGAATTTAGTACAGATTCTATTTTTGGTTAGTTGATCCAACCTACCAAATTTCCTTAGGATCGGATGACTATATCCTATAGCTGCCGTATAACTGAACGATCGGAAATGACCCAACTTTTGTGTTTTTGAAGATAGAAGTTAGGGACATTTTTAGGTTTTGTATTACAATAAATTGGGTTATATTATCATATTCTTATACGAATCGGCCAACTATATCCAATGTTTGCGATATATATCCGGTTTTATCTGCAAGGGTATATACACTTCGGCTCCGCCCGAAGTTAGCTTTCCTTTCTTGTTGAAGATAGAAGCTGGAGACTTTTTTTTAGATGTTGTATTGTAATAAATTGGATTATATATTCATATTCCCATAAGGATCGGCCAACTATATCCGATGTTTGCGATATATATCCGGTGTTAACTGCAAGGGTATATAAACTTCGGCTCCGCCCGAAGTTAGCTTTCCTTTCTTGTTTATAGATCTATTGACTCGTCCGACCCTCTAATTTCAAGTTTGAATATGCATAATACTCCAAAACTGCGTAAAATCACTTCCTGCAGAAGTTATTGCTTTTTTGGAAACTCCAACCTTAAATATAAGTTTATGCTATATATCTGAAGAAAATAATAATGAAAATTTTAATTTTAATAATAATAATAACATGGATAGTGAAACAGATGACGAAGAAGATTATGATAACATCAATGAATATTCGTTCGTTTTAGATGAGGAAGATTTTTAACTGCTTATTTGTAAAGTTTTTAATAATATATAAACATATATGAATAAAAATTTGTAATCTTTTTTATTTAATATTATGTCTAAGTATAATAAAATAAAGCTTTTTATTTTGTTTCAATTTTAGTTGAACATTTTTAATTTTTTCTTAAATAAATGCACTTATTATTGGCGGCCTACACATATGCGGAAAAAAAGGAGTGACCTGTTATATATTGTCAATTTTCACATCTGTTTTGTACTCCTCCATTCTATACACTAATACACTTATGTAGTACTTTAAGAATCTGGTAACTCTATAAGCTTCGCATACAATAAAGTCAGTCTGAAATAGAACTCAACAAGAACACAACATATTGGCGACGAGGAAAAAAGTAAAGTTTTTAGTCGAAAGATAAAAACAGTAAAATCGCGTAAATCGTGTCGAGTAGTCGTTGATTTTCATCAAGATGCCGGCAGATGAGGATTTGATCCAATCGATACTTGCTCAACAGCAAGCATTTACAAGAGACATTATGGAACAGCAACAAAAATGGATGCAAGCAATGATGGAAAGAAACGCTTCTCCACGGCAGGGTGATTCAAGCCACACGGGTGAATTATCTGCGTGCCCCCCATTCCACAAATTCGACAAAGACAATCAAAACTGGGAGTCTTACCTGGAACAGTTAACCCAGCATTTTAACGCGTATTCGGTTAGTGCAGAAATAAAGCAAAAGGCTTATTTTCTTTCGTGGTGTGGCATAAATATATTCGAACTATTGAAAAATCTGTTCGGGAGCAACAATTTGAACACGTATACATACAAGGAACTCACAGACAAGTTAACGGAACATTTCACAACAAAACGACACGTTGTTGCTGCTCGCTATGAGTTTTTTAAAAGGGAGATGAAGCATTCACAAACACATAGAGAGTGGGTAGCCGACTTGCGCGGGATCGCTCGGGAATGCCAATTCGTCTGTAATGCCAGCGGTTGTTCTTCTAACTATGTAAATGAAATGATTCGAGATCAGATCATAGTACATACACCATACGATGCCGTCCGTGCATCTGCTCTTCAGAAGTCCCAGCCAACTCTTGAAGATGTGCTTATAGTTGCAGAAACCTATGAGACAACAACAAAAACCGTGGCAGCCCTCAAAGAAACAGTATCAAAGCAAGACCCAATAAACGCAGTTCACACCTATACAAAGAAACCGTTTCATGGTGGTGGTGAAAGTGATGCCAAAACAAACAAAAGTTCGCTAAAATCATGCTCTGGTTGTGGACACAATCATGCCAGAGAGAAATGCAAGTTTCGCGATGCCGTATGTCACAAGTGCGGTAGAAAAGGACATATAGCTGTTGTATGCATGTCGAAGCAAGACCAAAGTAAATGGCAAATGCAAAAAGTCGCAAATCCGAAGCAAACGAAATCGAAACGATTGAAGCTGTAAACAGTGTTACAGGTCCAGTCCAGTGTCAGCAAGATTCTTATAGATCTTGAAATACACGGCAAAGTTATATCATTCCAAATGGATTCCGGAGCCACAGCGTGCGTGATCAACGCCACTACATACGCGCTGTTGAATAAGCCAAAATTACACAATTGTTCCCGAGTATTACATGCGTTCGGTCATACACCAATACCATTGCTTGGGGAGTTGCACACAATTGCAAAGTGCGGTGAAAAAGAGAAGCAAGTAGTCATTATCGTTGCGAACATTGAGACATCAAACAATCTATTTGGTATGGATTTATTTAAAATTTTCGGCTTTGATATCATGCAAGTATCAAACGTTCAAGAGGTGCACGAAGACGAATTACGTGACCTTTGCAGCCAGTACAACGAAGTGTTCGAACCAGCCATGGGTGTCATAAAAGACTTCAAAGCAAGTGTCTTTTTAAAGCCATCAGCAACACCAAAGTTTTTCAAGAGCCGTCAAATTCCATTCGCACAGATGGACAAATTCAGAGCTGAAGCAGACAGACTTACACAAGCTGGAATTTGGAAGCCGATCAAATTTAGTAATTGGGCATCACCAATTGTACTAGCACCTAAACCAGGTGGCGCTATTCGCATATGTGGCGATTTTAAGCAAGCAGTCAACGCGCAGATCGATGTCGAACAGTACCCGTTACCGACAAAAGAGTCTCTGTTTCACATAATACGTCACGGCAAGCAATTCAGCAAAATAGATTTAAAGGATGCCTATCTTCAAATGGAACTGGATGAGGATTCAAAAACTATTATGGTCGTCAACACACCCCTTGGCCTATTTCAATACCAGCGCCTTCCCTACGGAATTGCCAGTGCACCAGCGATCTTCCAAAGGTATTTGGAACAGCTTCTAAAAGGAGTAGAAGGATGTGGAAACTACTTAGATGACATCATTATCTCAGCACCTACAAGCGAGCAACATCTAAAGCGAATCGACCAAGTTCTCAGTATTCTTCGTGAGAATGGCATTAGATGCAAAAAGGAGAAATGCTTCTTTTTCAAGGACGAGATTGAGTACCTAGGACGAAGAATCAGCGCTCAAGGGATTCTTCCAGACAGCTCAGGCTTGGAGGCTGTTAAACTGTTGCGTCCGCCTTCTAATCTGCAGCAACTAGAGGCATTCATGGGTAAAGTTAATTACTATTGCAACTTTATTCCGAACTATTCTCAGTTGGCCGCACCATTAAACCAACTTCGGAGAAAAATGTAGCATACATTTTCGGGCCACAACAACAACAAGCTTTCACAGCCCTGAAGTCCCATATTATCAACGCGACGCAGCTAGCTCATTTCGACGAAAATCTACCACTAGTCCTAGCGACGGATGCATCATCTTTTGGTATTGGTGTAGTCCTTTCACATATCCAAGATGATGGCAAGGAGAGACCTATTGTTTTCGCATCCAAAACGCTTGACAAGCATCAGGTTAAGTACAGCCAAATCGAAAAAGAGGGACTTTCTATAATATTTGGAGTTAAACGTTTTCACCAATATTTGTACGGCCGAAAGTTTACCCTTATAACGGATCACAAGCCACTAGTAACGATCTTCAATCCAGGCAAGCATCTGCCTTTAATGACATCAAACAGGCTACAGCGCTGGGCCATCATTCTCATGGCCTATATTTTTGAGATACAGTATCGTTCTACATCTGCTCATGGCAACGCAGATGCCCTATCGCGCCTTCCCGTGGGCATGGATCCAGATTTCGACAGAGAAGAAGAAGCCTGCCACATCGAAATGGAACTGTCACCACCGATCAATTCTGAGATCATTCGCAACCACATCGAAAAGGACAAACTTCTCAAACAAGTCTTACGGTATGTTACTGTAGGATGGCCAGAGAAACTGCAGCAAGGCGAAGAAGCATTATCACCATACTTTAATCGAAAATTTGCCCTCACAATCAACAAAAAATTGCTTTGCCTACACACAGATGCCAGTCGTGTAGTAATTCCAGTAACTCTTCAAGCGCGTGTCCTGAATCTGTTACACGAAGGACATTGGGGAATTGTTCGAATGAAGCAGCTAGCGAGACAACATGTTTGGTGGCCTACAATCGACGCAGACATTAAAAGCCTTACACAGTCATGCAGCATCTGCAAGTGCAACAATCCTGCTCCTCCAAAAGAGTACCAAAGTTGGCCTGCAGCTACAACAGCGTGGGAGCGAATCCATATCGACTTCGCCGGCCCAATATTCGACTCCATGTGGCTAATCTGTGTAGACGCTTACTCGCAGTTCCCATTTGTAGTTCAAATGTCGTCCACTACAACATCCAACACGATCGCTGCACTATCATCGATATTCGCCATCGAAGGATATCCAAAAACCATGGTCAGCGACAACGGTCCGCAGCTTACGGCTGACGCCTTTGAGGAATTCTGCAAACTTCATGGAATAAAACACATTACTACAGCACCGTTCCATCCAGCATCCAATGGATTAGCAGAGCGTTTCGTTCAGACGTTTAAATTCTCTGTCAAGAAAAACCTCAAAGACGGTATACCACTACGAGCAGCAGTTACTAAATACCTTGCTTCCTACAGGTTCACTCCAAATTCCTACGGAAAATCTCCCGCCGAGTTAATTCATGGTCGTCCAGTCCGAACCGTACAAAGCCAACTTTTCGAGCAGCCTGTCGAAGCCAAGCTATCAGTTACCAAGTACGTCCCAAATCAAATGGTCTACGCTCGTAATTATGCAAGGGGAGAAAAGTGGATTGAAGGATCTATTGACCGTCCAATTGGAAAAATGGTTTTCTTGGTTCGCACCACAAATGGTTATATCAAGCGCCATTTCAACCAGTTAAAACCGAAGTTCTCAGCAAGCAGCTCCATCGAAAAACCTCCAGAGTTCTTTTGGATCCCAGATATTCCGCCCTCTTCAAATCATCCACTGCAACAACATGATCAGCCACTACAACAACATGATCAGCCACTACAACAACAGGATCAGCCATTACCACAACAAGAAGATGAACCAGTAACTCCGTCAACCGTTCAGCAACGTCATTCTGAACCTGAGCCACCCGAGAGCTCCACGTAATCAAACCAACAACAAAAGCAAAAACAGCCAGCACGACTTTCATCCGGCATACCAGTTCGCCAAAGTAGTCGTGTTCGCAATGAAGTAGATCGTTTTAAGCCCAAGGATTTCCGAAAACGTAAAAATCCTATTCGTTCTTAATTAAGGGAGGAGATGTGTTATATATTGTCAATTTTCACATCTGTTTTGTACTCCTCCGTTCTATACACTAATACACTTATGTAGTACTTTAAGAATCTGGTAACTCTATAAGCTTCGCATACAATAAAGTCAGTCTGAAATAGAACTCAACAAGAACACAACATGACCCAATTGTCAAAAAAAAAATCCGAAATTAGAGTTAAATATAACGAACATTTAAAAAAAAAAAATGATGTCTTTAGCTTTATTTTTATACCCTTGCAGAGGGTATTATAATTTTGGTCAAAAGTGTGCAACGCAGTGAAGGAGACATCTCCGATCCTATAAAGTATATATATTCTTGATCAGGATCACCTCCTGAGTTGATATGAGCATGTCCGTCTGTCCGTCTGTCCGTCTGTCTGTCCGTCTGTCTGTCCGTCTGTCTGTTTCTACGCGAACTAGTCTCTCAGTTTTAAAGCTATCGTCTTGAAACTTTGCACACACCCTTCTTTCCTTTGCACGCAGTATATAAGTCGGAACGGCCCGGATCGGCCGACTATATCTTATAGCTGCCATATAACTGATTGATCGGAAATGGTATAACTTTTGTGTTTTTAGAGTTAGAGAGTGCAAATTTGACATGAGAGCTATTTTTGGCAAAACATTACGTCATGCCAAATTTCATAAGGATCGGCCGACTATATCCTATAGCTGCCATATAACTGAACGATCGGAAATGGTATTTGGTAGAAATATCAACTTTCGTATTTTCGAAGATAGAAGTTTGGGACTTTTTTTAGATTTTGTATAGTAATAAATTGGATTATATATTCCTATTCCCATAAGGATCGGCCAACTATATCCGATGTTTGCGATATATATCCGGTTTTAACTGCAAGGGTATATAAACTTCGGCTCCGCCCGAAGTTAGTTTTCCTTTCTTGTTTTTAATAGGCTTTGTTTATAGGCTCTTAACATTTTTTTCGCATTTACTACACTGGTCTTCTTCAATTTATGCTTCGCCGATTGGCTCAAATGTTTCCTCATAGGCCACATCTTCCAACGGCATATCCAAATTTAATGTTGGAATAGCTTCCTTTTTCAAGAACTTCTTCCCAATGTAAGCCGTCGAAAAATGGTTTTCACAAATTCTTAGATTCTTATTATAATCCTCCAAGACAATGCCACATTTTTCCCTCCATACTTGTCCTAAAATTAAATCCGCGGACGGTAATTTTTTAGGTTTAGGTTTAGGAAAATGGCGCCTAGATTTCATGCAGGATTTAACACAGCATTTCAATCCAGAAATCGCAAAATTTTTCTTTGTTCCGCTCATGTTGTCGCTTCTAATACCTTGCAGTTAAAACCATAGACCAATTAAAAATTTTTTTTTAGCAGCTTTCCTTATATATCTTTTATTTAGTAATACCAGTTCCTTTAAGACAATATTTCCAACTATGTCTAAATTTAGGGTATTAATTATTTTCCGAATCCTTAATACTATTTTTAATATCCTTAGTATTTTCTTTATATCCCAAGACATTTTCATTTTATACAATCTGTCGAAAGAGCTGAAAGATAAATAACAAGAAAGGAAAGCTAACTTCGGGCGGAGCCGAAGTTTATATACCCTTGCAGTTAAAACCGGATATATATCGCAAACATCGGATATAGTTGGCCGATCCTTATGGGAATAGGAATATATAATCAAATTTATTACAATACAAAATCTAAAAAAAGTCCCAAACTTCTATCTTCAAAAATACGAAAGTTGATATTTCTACCAAATACCATTTCCGATCGTTCAGTTATATGGCAGCTATGGGATATAGTCGGCCGATCCTAATGAAATTTGGTAGGTTGGATCAACTGACCAAGAATTAAATCTGTACTAAGTTCCAGCTTTCTATCTTCAAAAACACGAAAGTTGGGTCATTTCCGATCGTTCAGTTATATGGCAGCTATAGGATATAGTCGGCCGATCCGGGCCGTTCCGACTTATATACTGCGTGCAAAGGAAAGAAGGGTGTGTGCAAAGTTTCAAGACGATAGCTTTAAAACTGAGACTAGTTCGCGTAGAAACAGACAGACAGACAGACAGACGGACAGACGGACAGACGGACATGCTCATATCAACTCAGGAGGTGATCCTGATCAAGAATATATATACTTTATAGGGTCGGAGATGTCTCCTTCACTGCGTTGCACACTTTTGACCAAAATTATAATACCCTCTGCAAGGGTATAAAAACAAGAAAGGAAAGCTAACTTCGGGCGGAGCCGAAGTTGATATACCCTTGCAGTTAAAACCGGATATATATCGCAAACATCGGATATAGTTGGCCGATCCTTATAAGAATATGATATAATCCAATTTATTATAATACAAAATCTAAAAAAAGTCATAAACTTCTTTCTTCATAAATACCAAACTTAATATTTCTACCAAAAACCATTTCCGATCGCTCAGTTATATGGCAGCTATAGGATATAGTAGACCGATCCTTATGAAATTTGGCATGTCATATTATTTGCCATTTGGCTATTTCCCAAAAATAGCGCTCATGTAAAATTTGAACTCTCTAACTCTAAAAACACCAAAGTTATACCATTTCCGACCAATCAGTTATATGGCAGCTATAGGATACAGTCGGCCGATTCCGGTCGTTCCGACTTATATACTGCGTGCAAAGGAAAGAAGGGTGTGTGCAAAGTTTCAAGACGATAGCTTCAAAACTGAGAGACTAGTTCGCGTAGAAACAGACAGACAGACGGACATGCTCATATCAACTCAGGAGGTGATCCTGATCAAGAATATATATACTTTATAGGGTTGGAGATGTCTCCTTCACTGCGTTGCACACTTTTGGACAAAATTATAATACCTTCTGCAAGGGTATAAAAAGGGTTTTCCGTAGTAGCCCCGAGCTGAAAATAGCAACTTCGGTTGGCAGAAGCTTGATCACATATTATGGCCTTTACATCTATACCTAAATTAAATAAAATTTTCAAATTTTGTTTTATAATCTCACATAGGTCATTCGCTGAAAGGCCATTTTCGGAAACAAAATAGTTTAAAATCATACTCCAATTTGAGAAGATTGACTTTATTAAAAATACGCAAGTCTCGTTAGCTATTTTATTATTTCTTTGTAGTCCTTCGCATTCAAACCCATCTATTAAATCTAAATTAACATTATACCTCAACTCTTTTCTAATTGCCATTTCATCCATCACAAGGACGACTTGGAAATCATAATTTTTTTTTAGTTCAGCAGTCATTTTTTTTAATTTTTCAAAAGAATTGTTTGTTAAACCAGGTTGTAGTAATTTCATAGGAGCCCATCAGTAAAGAGTTTTTACGTGGAGCATGTTCAAATTTAAATTGTCCCTTAGAAAAGAATATGCTGAATACGACATATAGAAAATGTTTTGGGCCAACCATTGTACATTGGGCGATTTTCCCAAAAAAGTGGCATAAAGTCAAAAAATGTATGATAGAATATTAAAAAAACCTTATTTATTAATAGTAAACACTTCAGGAAGCTTAAAAAATGTTTTGTTTTTTGCTGGGTGGCAACTCTCTTTATGTGGCAGCCTCTTAAAGTCAGCTGAAGGCAAGCAGCTTTCGATTGTAAAAGTTACCGCGAAAATTTTACTTTTGCAATTGATCAGTGTGCGTATGTTTTTATGCAGTTTAATATATATATTTAGTATGGAAAACAAAGATCATGGTATATATAATCTGTATGTTGTAGCAAAAGTACATAAATATTTGTGTTGTTGTTTTTGTCCAGTGTTGTTGTTGGTTGTATTTGAACTAAAATTTTAACAATTGTAATCGTGTTCCGTGAAGTATTTCTATATCAAGAGCAAGCCAGAGCAGGCAACTAATAATGGCAAGTTACTAACTTAAATGTCTATTTTCATTTGGTAAAAATCTCATTTCCTCGTTTTCCACCGTTTATATAAAAATGCACTTGTAGTTGTTGTTGCGATTACCAACAGCGAGCTTGCCGATATTTGGAACGGCAACAATCGTAACGCAAGCGCTGTAACGTCGTTTATTTTAACAAAAATAAAAAAAGATGATTTGAGCATATCGCACATGAATGCAATAGAATCCAAAGTATCAATTTTTGTAAAACATATTAAACGGTATTTACGCAAACATCACGCAGATCTGGATAAAATTAAGTCGATTTACTCAGAATGGTTTTCAAAAAGTTTTGAAATACGAATCGATATGGAGGATACCAAAAATTCATCACCTTCCAAAACAGGACGCCCAAAATTAGGGTATACAGAGGCCGGGTCAAGGTTTAGAAGGAAAATGGCTCTAGAAGTTGCCATAGAAAATGACTTGTCAACTCCTTTACTTCTGCATGCAGCCTCAACATCTGTGCGAAAAAGAAAAAATAATGAAGCAGTCGGCGTGCAGCAGGAAGTCAATATTAAAAAAATAAATTAAGAATGTGTCAAACAAAAAGCCTTTAAAAATGTCTATAAAATAATGTATCCTTAGCCTACATATTGGAAAATGGGCTAACAAAACAACAATATATTAATACTAAGAAACTAAATAAGGCGTACGGGAACGACATATATCCTGGTTATGATGCAATAAAACAAACGAAGATGCAGTGCAGACCGGGAGTACACAGGAGTACAAATTACAGAATCTGTTGCAAAGGTTTCTTTGCAGGATTTGCTGAGCCATACGGCTGAACGAATTTTAATTTTACAAAAGGAAGTTTTGGAACAAATGGAAAATGTTACAGAGTGCACACTTATTGCATGTTATAGATTTGATGGGTCAAAGTTCCTATAAACAGAAATTCGATTTTGATGAACCCGATTCTTCCGACAGTTTTCTA